AACTGTGCATAAAGCCAAAGACTTCTCATTGCCCCTTGTGAAACCCATAATACCAAGGAGGATGGCATGAGAACCAGAAAATTATAGAAATTTAACTTTTTTTAGACTTAGAATTTATTTTTTCTAAGATTTATCAAATACAATGCTAGTTATTAGTGAACCCATTTCTACAAGAGATTTCTTATTCCAAGTTCTAGAAATGGCCACAGCTTTGTATCTGTCCCAGCCCACAGGTTCTTCTGATAATGAGGCTGACATTTGTCCTGTCATGAATGGGTTCTGTTTTCCCTTCCTTGAACATGGAAATGGATTGGTGATGCCCTGACTAACATAGAAGAAAAGTGTTCATACATGACTATGTTAGGTTAAAAAAACAATAGTTTCTGTCTGGATTTCTCTCATTCTTTTTTAAAAATACTGTTTTATTAATTTTTTAGAGAGAGAGGAAGGGAGAGATAGAAACAATGATATGAGAGAAACATCAATTGGCTGCCTCATGCACGCCCCCTATTGGGGAATCAAGCCCACAACCCAGGCATGTGTCCTGACCAGGAGTTGAACCGGGACCTTTCAGACTGTGGGACAATGCTTAGTCCACTGAGCCTACACTGGCTGGGTATGGATTTCTCTCATTCTTGATATGCTTGCCCTTGAACTCTACCATCATGCTATGAGGAAGGTCAGTCTACATAAAGAGACCATGCGTGAGTATTTCTGTCGACATCTAGCCCGCTAAGAAACCTCTAGCATCAAGCACCAGACATGAATAAATGAAATTTCATATGATTTCAGCTAAAAATGCACCAACTCAAGCCAGCAATGTCAGTCTTCTGCTTTTCCATTTTCTTAAAAGTGTAGGTGCATTGTATTGGCTTTTTTTCAGAATCCTTCTACAAAAGAGCAAAGTTAAAACCAAGAGGTTTTAACTGGCAAGAGTATGAGGCCCTTTCTCTTGTGGAGAGACCTCCATCCCATCCTTTGTTTTCAGCTGTATCACTGTTGCTGTTCATGAGGTGAATGGGTCCTACTTTCATCCCCTACTGAGCCAGAAAAGGGAAATGATCTATGCTGCAGCCTCACATCCCACATGTGGATCCTGGTTACAGAGGCCCTGGTAAGAATTGTTGGGATCCAGTAGGAATGCTGAACCCCAGAAGGCCAAGACCAGGGCACTGTCCATGATGAACTTCATCCTCAGGTTGAGGACCACCCAGTAACGCTTTTGGGTACAACACTTTACTCCCAAAGGTCAGCTGCACACTCTCAGGCCAGGTAGGACAAGAGCTTGGGGCCTTAGCCAGAAGTTGGTGCAGGTAAATGCAGTCAAGCTTGAAGGGACAGCAGCCATTTCTCCACATGAAGAACCAGTGTCTGATTTGGCTGGTCCTAGACTTGCTTCTTCTCAGTCTACTTGCTCACCCACAATTTGTGGGGGATAATGTAGCTGGAATGGACCCTTCACTGAGGACAGACTTGACGACATCCAGAGGGAAGTTCTGTCTTCTCTTCTACCAAGTGCCCAGGTAGCCAGGCAGTGGGCATGGCTGCAGTTGGTCAAGATGTATCTGGATTTCCCAACTCCTTGCGCATGCAGATGTCACACACATAGTCCCAACTTCTTGCTCGGTCTTAAGGTCCAGGCTCTGAAGTGAGGCCATGGGCTACCTAGTCAGGGTTTAACATCAATTGAAACTCCTGGGAGTAGCCATGATTCCCATCAGCAGATGATGGAGACAAGGACTTCCAGGAACGGCCACCCACCTCCTCAACCTTGCTGGCCCACCACACTAGACCAGGTTCTGTGCCCTAGCAGGACCTGGCTCAGTCCTAACACATAGCCCCTGAGGACAGGTAGGTGGGCAGAAGCTTCACTAGAAGTGTTTGAGGACCTGGAATGTTTTCTCCTAGTGAGCAAAGCCTGACCCCTGGATTCACACTTCTCAGGTAAAAGTCTGCATGGCCACTGCTCTCTCCACTGTGGCCTCTGCCATTTGTCCTTGCAAGGTTCATGCCATCTCAGCCTTTAGTGAGAATCCTTCTTAATATATATTTTAATATTTCTTATCACCAGGATTATTTATCTGTTGCTGTATAACAAATTATCAGAGTTTTTTGGGGTTCTGAGATTCTAAGTGTGTTTATTTAAAAGGAATGGGGTAATAAATGCTCCAGGAAGTCTGGAAGACTTGACAACTGGGGGCTGGAATCTTCTGAAGGTTCATGTACTTCAGAAACCAAATGCCCTTTTAGTTTCAGAAGCTAATCAAGCTCCAAGTCAAGGAGCAATGTCAGTCTTTTTTGCTTATGCATGAAGCATAATACAGTTGATGTTCATTCATTCTGTTGTAGCATGTATCAGTATTCTGTTCCTTTCTATTTTAGAAGAATTTTTTATTGTATGACACATAACACATATCTATTCATAAAAGATGAACCTTTGAATTGTTTCCAGTTTTGGACTATATGCATAATACTTCCCTGTACATATGAATACATGTTTTTTCTTTCTTTCTTTCTTTCTTTCTTTCTTTCTTTCTTTCTTTCTTTCTTTCTTTCTTTCTTTTTTTGTGAACACTTATTTCATTCTCTTGGATAGATATCTAGGAATAGAATGGTTGGGTTATAATTCTATGTATAATGTTTAAAGATAGTTCCAGCCTATCTTCTAGAGTGAATATATAATTTTATATTTCCAACAGCAATCACTTTTATCAGCAATACATTTTATTTCTTTGAGCAATGATTTGTGAATTTCACTTTACAGTACTGCATTTATTTTGCTGAATTTATTCCTACACACTTTATTATATTTGATTCTATTGTGAGTGAATCATTTTCCTGAATTTCATTGCCAGTTTGTTTATTGAAAGCAAATGCTATTGCCCTTTTTCATGTTGCTTTCTTATCCTATGCCCTTGACAAATTTCTTTATTGTATCAATTAGTTTCTTTGTAAATTCTTTTAGGATTTTATACCTGTACTAACATGCTATTTTTGAACAAAACTAGATTTCTTTCTTTACAATCTGGAAACTTTTATTTGTTTTTTAATTTAGTCTCATTTGAATGCACTGGATAAACCCTCCGGTACAATGTTCCTCCAGTCATGGCAGGAACAGACATTCTTGCCCAGTGCCTAATATTAGAGAGAAAACAGTGTCTTTGATCATCAAGTACGATGTGAACTCTAGGTTTCCTGTAAACAGACTACGTCAGGTTGAAGACGTTGCCTTCAATTAATTTCTTGTTGAGAGTTTTGTTTCTGTTTTAATCATAAATAAAAGAAAGATATTGTTAAATGTTAATTCTGAGTTTATTGAGATGGCAATGTGATTTTTTTGTTGTTGTTCTTTTAATAATATAATGTATTATGTATTGATTTTTCTTGGACATTAACATAACCTTGCATCCTTAGAATAAATGCCATTGTGTACTAGTTTAGTAGTATTATTCTGAAGTTAATTAGTTAATATTTGTTTAAGAAAATGTTGCACCTATGCTCACAGTGACATTAGTTGATTCTTTAGTTTTCTTGCGATTTTTTTTTATCCTCACCCAAGGACATTTTTTTTTCCCATTATTTGTTCAGATAGAGTGGGAGGGAGGGAAAGAGAGAGAGAGAGAGAGAGAGAGAGACATCGATGTGAAAGGAACACATCGAGTGGTTGCCACCCACATGACCCAACCAGGGCCGGGGACAAACTGCAACCGAGGTACATGCCCTTAATGGGAACTGAACCCGGGTCTCTCTGGACCACAGGCCGACGCTCTAACTGCTGAGCCAAACCAGTCACGGCTCTTGTAATGTTTTGATTGACTTTGATATCAGAATACATAGAATAAACTGACTAGTATGTCCTCCTCTATTCTCAAACCAACATTCTTTTCATGCTTCTTTACTTATTTATTTATTTTATCAACAGAATACCTTGTTTTTTATTGATTGTAGAGAGAGAGGAAGGGAGAGGGAAAGAGAGAGAAAGAGAGAAACATAGATGTGAGAGAGAAATATTGATCAGCTGCCTCCTATACACACCTTGCCAGGGATTGAACTCACAACCTGGGTATGTGCCCTGACTGGGAATCAAACCCAGGACACTGGTGCCTGGGACAATGCTCTAACCAACTGAGCCACACCAGCCAGGGCACCAGCAACTCATTTAAAATTATATCTTAGCTTTCCATACTTTATCTCTCACTCTACTTCCTTATATCTGTCATTATAATTTTTATTCATAAAAAGTCCCTTCTCTTTCATTCTTTTTGTACTTTATCATTCTTCTTTTCAGGAAGAATGTTTTTGTTATTTTTTTTGTTTTTAATCCTCACCCGAGGATATTTTTCTATTTATCTTCAGATAGAGTGGGGAGGGAGAAAGAGAGAGGGAAACATCGATGTAAGAAAAATACATTGACTGGTTGCCTCCCACATGACCTTGACCACGGTCAAGGTCATACTGCAAAGAAGTACGTGCCCCTGAGGCGAATCAAACCTGTGACTCATTGGTCCACGGGCAGACATTCTAACTGCTGAGCCAAACCCGCCCGCGCAGAAGGAATGTTTTTAAGAGAGTTATTTAAATATGTAGTTGATTCTACCCAATAACATTTTAATTATATGGACACAACATAAAACAAACATTTTATCCAGTGATAAATACCACTATTGGTGGTTGGTTCTGTGAACTAACCCTGATATGAGGCTACGCTTGTGACCAGCCAGCAGCTGAATGGCGGACCTTCCCTTGGTGGCGAGGTCCAGGGATGCACACAGGTGCAGTGCGTTGCCAGTGCTCTGACAGTGAAACACTGGCACCTCACTCTCTGGTCCTTTTATCGTTCGTAGTTGGCACACTTCAGACGTTCCCAGAAAGAAGGGGCATTGGGATTCCAAATAAAGGCTGATTAAAAAACAAAAAACAAACGGTGATACGATTTTCAGGAAAAGAAATAAATGACCAGATTTTATAACCATCTTTTCTCTTTCTCATGTTTTCAACAGGTAACACATTATTAACCAGCAAAGTCAACATATTGATTAATGTCCTAGATGTCAATGAATTTCCACCAGAAATAGCTGTACCATATGAAACATCTGTGTGTGAAAATGCCAAACCAGGACAGGTATCTTATCAATATTGTTAATTAAGAATATACAAAGACTCCTGACATATATGTGCTTTAGGTTATAAGAATATGCATAAATATTTACACGCACGCAGTGTTTTTTTTCTGGATCGCATGTCTTTATAAAAGAAACCAAACAATATAGTAAACTCTTATAAGTTAATGGCACTTATATAATGTGGAGCTAATACCACAGGGGATAAATTTATGATGATCTAATGAACTTTCAAGGTCTAGGGGTAACTCAAGGTCTAGGTTTTGCAGATCCTGCTATGTTTTCTATTTTTTTACTGTATAACTTTTAATGAGCTTGTGACTATAAACCCATAAGCAAACAGGTTTAGAGTGCATCTTTCTATAGTATTTTTTGTTTTGTTCACATGCTTTTATAAAAGGGTCCTGAAAACTCTTAAGCTCATGAAAAGGGTAAAGCTTTCTTCTCTGGTGACCTGGAGAAGAATATCTGGATTATTCAAAATGTCTGAATTGAGTTTTTCTTATTAAGTCAATATTGCTCCAGGAGTGGGGATATGTCTTGAGAGAAGACCACATAGTTAATGAAAGTTATGGTCAAAGTCTTAGGATTTATGTGGGGTGGTAGTGGACAGCTAGTTTTTTCCCTACCTTATTGTAAATGAATGAATGTTAATGAATGGAAATGATAATATAATGAGTATCAGGCATAAGCAAATAATAAAAGTGTTTTATGCAAAAAGAGAAAAGAAAATCTGTGCACATAGGTTCTAAAAGAAAAAGTGTTTTGGTGCGCTTTGATTTTCTGTATATTTTAAACACCTTTAAATGGTGTAACTACTCCTTTAAGTAAATATGAAGGATTTTAATTTTTACTTAAAAAATAATCTTAATATTTAAAATAGCACCTTTATTGAAAAAGGTCATTCTTTAATTTATAGTATTTGTTTCACTTTGAATTTTTTCTGTTCTATAGGACATTTGTCTCCTAGTTTTAATCCTGTGATGTCCATTATCCATAGACCTATTAGATTAAAATTAAATTTAAAAATCAATGTTTGGACACATGCTCCCTAGTTCAAGTGCTTGACAGCTGTCAGTGGGGTGAGCGGCTGCTGATTTGGTCAGGGCAGGTATAGAATATTACTTCAGCACAGAAACTTCGAGTGGGTGGTGCTCTCTAACTCTTCTTTTGATAATTTGGGGAAACTATTAATTTTATTCCAGCATGACTAATCTAGTCATATTATCCCCAGTGATAAATTTGCATCCTTAATTGTGAATAGGCACTTAAACCAAGGTTTAACTCTTTACCTCCTTAAATGTACCCACAATTTGCATAGGATGAGCCAAAAGCCCTTTTTTAGCATCTGAAGTAGTAGATGCTACATAAATGTTTATACAAATACATAATTTAGTTATTTGGGAAGTTATAAAAGGTTTATCACAACTTAGCCATTTTCTACTTTCCAGATCCCTCCACCCTTATCTCTGAAAGTCAATCCTTTATTTTTACCTAATTAGGTACATTATTTTATATCAGTCAGAACCTTGTAATGTACTACAGCAAAGCCTTTTGGGAATAGAACTCTACTTAAGGTTTCTATGTTTATTGAGTAAATTAAAGGGTTTAAAAATTGGTAATAGTAGAAATTACTAGAGATAACTTCGTTTTCTTATATCTGGACAAATTAGTGAGAAATATGACAAATATTAGAGGCTTCTTTGCTAATATCTATCTGTTGGGCTTTTGTATCTATTGGGCCACATTTATGTACAAAGCATAACCATGACATGTCTCTTGGGTTTTCAGGGAGTGTAGTATATGAGCATGTTCTGCCTTTGATCCCAGTCATCTGCCCTTCACCTAGGAACTATACATAGGAACTATATAACTTTTCTGGACTATAAATGAATATGTATGTATGTAGGTAGGTATCTATCTATCAAAATAAGAAAAAGAGAGAAAGATGAGGCTGTGTATATCAGTAAAGATTTATATATTGAATCAATAAAGATTTACGTTTTCCTTAAGGCAATAACTCCCAAGTCATAATTCTAGATAAGTGACAGTTTATGCCCCAATTTTCATGTCTCTTTGCTGCTTAATTTTTTTTAATTCTAAAGTTATGATCTTGATACGTCTTAACTTTAATTTAGTAAATGATTATGTTCATTGTAAGTAGTTAAAAGCAAAATAAAATAAAACTTGACAAACAGGTATCAGTCCTCAGATAACTCAGAGAAATTTAATCGATGAGATATAGTGATCTGAGCATTTGGGTTTACGTGATGGAAAGTTAAAATTTTACAGGATCTCTATGGTGATTCTTTGGCTAAATTACCATATTCTATGATCTAACCTTTGATGTTGAATAACGAGTCTCATGTATGACAATTCTAAAGGGTAAATAGATCCTGTGTGACTGATTGACACTGAACTAGAGAACTGGAATTCTCATTAGACTAGGTTGTCAAATTACAAGTTATTAACTTTCACCAGACAGCAAAGTCTCAGTATGTGTGTCTGTCTGCACACACAGCTATATGAGAAGGTTGATCATAGTCATAAGATTGGATTTGAAAACAAAAATGACAACATTAAATCACACATTTAATGGCATCAATCTGAGATCACATGCTATACGCTTTGCACACTGGGACCAGGATATAGTATTTGAGATCTGAGGTCTTCCTCTGGCAAATTCAGATGTAGGCGAAGTGCTTGATCACTACCTCAGCACAATGTTCTCACCTCCCCACACAATGTTCCTGAAACTCATTCTGATGCAAAGCCATTAGATATATTAGTAAATAAATGCCTCGAAACCATTCTAATTTGCTTATTTACATAGTGAATTATCAATTTTACAATTGGGCTCTCAGAAGTAATTTTTAATCTCCAAATTCTTAAAGGCTTCTTAATGAAGTATCAGAATTTTAACTATAACATACACAATGGGAACAATTCAGGAAAAAATTTAAAACAGAATTAAGACTGCTTCCTTTTTACAAAAGTCTATGAAAAACAATTTGTACTTTCACCCATTGGCGGAAAACAGAACAAAACAAAACAAAACAGATATGCATTCTTTGTTTCTATCTCATTGTTTTCTTTATTTATGAAAGTAAAACTCATCCTCACAAAATAACGATGCTGCAATTTTGCTAATGCAAGGATTTTGAAGTAGTCACAGATTGTTTCCAGTAAGCATTTTCATACTTAGGTTAAAAAACCACTTATTTCATCTAATATAAAATGCAACCAAGTACATTTTAATTTTATTTTGTATATTGGTGAAAATATTTGATGCTATTCAGCTTTTGAGTTATGCAGATATTGATTTGGAGTTAACCATACTGTATAAATGTTTACATATCTGTTTATAAAAATTATTTGTAAATGTTTGGTCCACTGATCTGAATCCTCAATGTGTTCATCTGTCCACTAGCATGCTTCCTTCATTGAACCTTGTAGCCTGGTACATAAAGTTTCCTTTGAATTGATGACTGACTTCCGGTCTCATCTCCACTTTGTTTCAGATCATTCAGATAGTCAGCGCTGCAGACCGAGACCTTTCCCCTGCTGGACAGCAGTTCTCCTTTAGATTATCACCTGAGGCTGCCATCAAACCAAATTTTACCATCCGTGACTTCAGAAGTAAGTTTAACCACATAAAAATGTACCTATTAACAAGGAAAGTTGTAAAAGGACACAAAGGTAGACATCAATGCTTTTCCTTAAAGCACTCAAATTCATAAAATATGTAAATCCACTAATGAAACACAAAATTCTATAGGTAGCAGTAAATAAAATATTTAACCTATACGTATCGTATCTAATGAGGGAAATTACTTCCTCTTAGAATGTGAATAATCCCTTAATGAGTCAAATAAAAAAAAAAAAAAAAGGTTATTTGAGGAACAGAATGCTTTCTCTGTTTTACACATATCATTTGTTCCACACGCATAAGTCTTGTACATGCCAATAGGTAACTTCTTAGTAACTGTTCTTTTTGCATAACAGATGGTACAGCACAGGTTGAAAATGGAGGCTTTTTAATTAGAATATCTACATAAATGGCAGACAATTAATGCATTAAATTATAATAAATAATGTCAAACTTCTAGTATTTATATTAAATAAAATAATGTATGCATATTCTTTAACACAATGCCTGATCATATTACCTCCAAGATCAGTTTGCTAACACCTGTGCCATCATGTCTACATTTAATATTTCTACCACCACCACTACTATAACTACCAGCATCACTACTACCATCACTATGACCACCTCTGCTCCATCATTACCACCACCACTACTGCCATCATTTCCACCACCATTACTACCATAACTACCAGCACTATTGCCATCATTATCACCACCACTATTCTATCATTACCACCACCACTACTGCCGTAGCTGCCACCACCACTACTACCATCGTTACCACCACCATTACTCCATCATTACCACTACCACTACTCCATCGTTATCACTACTACTACCAGCAGGACCACCACCACTACTAACAGCTTACCACCACCACTACTCCATCATTATCACCACCACTACTCCCATTATCACCACCACTATTACCATCATTACCACTACCACTGCTCCATCACTACTACCATCATTACCATCACCACTACTTCCTCACTGCCACTACTGCCATCACTACCACCACTACTACTGTCACTACCATCAATACTACTACTTATTATACTTTCATATCTGCTACCATATCAACCACTTCAGAAACATAAATGACACTGAATTAACAATATTAAGGCTAACTAATGCTCAATGATTCTGACCTTATTTGTTCTGTGACTGAATATTTTATGTCCTCTAAATATTGATAGTGTAAAAAATTTTGATTAAAAATACCTGAGTTTTTTTTGTAAGACACATTGTAGTGAGATATTTATCATGATGATGGTTATTGATTGAAGCAAAGGATGTTTGGAGAAAACTTAATTTGCTGAAAATACTTAGGGGATAGAAATAATAATCATCACATTTTGTCACAGTAGGAAATTCAGTAGTATTTCTGCATTATATAGTGAACTATGAGGGATGGATATAAATAAAACAAGGACCCAAATATGAAGGGCCTATAAGTAGAGATAACACATTTTTATCATGAAAACTGGAGAACATTGGAGAGAAGTAAACAATATTAGTAATTTTAACTCAGAGCAACATACATAAAATAGAGCTAAGACAAACCAGACATGATCATCCTATATCTAAGCCATTTAAAGAGATTATAACTTAGATGAAGTGACTTGTGAAAGGTTTAAGTAAGAGTATACCATGTTCAGCTTTGCATTTATGAAGATCCGTTTGGACACAGAGTGGACAAGACTTCAGAGGCATATAAGACTGGTTCTGATGTTATTGCAAAAAAAAAAATGGGTGAGAGAATCTTAGATTAGGGTAATGGATGTGAAGATAGAAATAAGTGGGTGGAGATAGAACAAAATGGATTTAAAGCTAGATCCTCTAGATTTTATATCTAATTACAGTAAAGAAGACTAATCAGGCTTTCAAGTCATTGAGTTGGACAACTAGGAAGATGATCATGTGATTCAGTGATTCAGTAACATAAGTATTGACTATTTTCCACCATTATATCCTTGCTGAAGAGCCCATACCTAATTAATTGTGATAATATAGAACAGATCACATTTCCCCTCCACAGTGTTTGCTCACGGTTTGAACACGTGTCACTCACATGCTGTTTACCATAATCCCTCTTTTATCTTGTTGTATTTGTCAATGTAAGCTTTTTTTAAAGAAGAAAGAACATTTTTTTACCTCACATGCTTCATACTTACCTTTTTGTTTTGTAATAACATTGATGTTTTATTTCTTTAACAATGTTATAGTCTACAAAGCTATCAACTACAGTGCCCATGTTATATCTTAGAACCTCAGATTTAATTCATCTCCAAACTGAGAGTTTGTACCTCATTCTAGTCCACCACTTTCCAGGCCCTGGAGACTACATTTCTACTTTCTGCTTCTATGAGGTCAACATTTTTTTGTTTTTTTAGATTTCACATATAAGTGATATCATACAGTACTTGTCTTTGTCTCTCTTATTTCACTTAGCATAATGTCCTCTAGGTCATTGTTACAAATGATAGCATTTTCTTTTTACTTAAGGCTGAAAAATATTATATATATTACACTTTTTTTATCCATTCTTGATGGAAACTACTTTAAAGGTGAAAATGAGATTTAATTTTTTAAAATTTTCATTATGGATAACACAATGAATTTTATATGGTCAAATCTTAACAATAATAAAATGAAAATAAACAACAAAATAAGGATGGGTTGCCTTTTCATATAACATGCATTCAAGAATATCAAACCTCTAATTCCCCAAGTGCTAATACATCAGTTTCTCTGACTTTCTATTTCTATTAATCCTTTCTTCTAGATTTTCAGCTTTAATCCTTGACTCTTCCTTTTCTCCAGACTCAAGTATTCAACTGTCAGTTGCTGAAGAATTCAGTGTTAACTCAACTAGTTCTCACTTGTCATCACAAGTACTAGCACCACTGAGTTTCAGTGGAGATATTATAAAAGGCATTTGGCATCTTGATCATTTGGTTTTCAATTTTAAAATATCCTCTATGTAATATAATAAATCACTCTTGCCATACCAAACTCCATCTTACAATGAAAAAGTTTCTCACTTTGGTGCTTCTTACCAAAGTAGCATGTACAAATAAAGTATTATTGAAATAGTAACATTTTTATGACATTTTCAAACCTAATTCCAAAGTATGTATCCCATATGGCTATAAAAAACTTAATATTAACATATTTCTAAAAATAGAAAAATGTTTCTAGAAGTTACTTTAATAGATACAAAAATAAAATAATGCTATGAATATAACAAAATTTTCACTTTTATGTGTAGAAATAAAAGAAGTAAAGGAGAAATACATGCAAAATTACACCTATAGAAATATTAATTACATTTATATAAAATTAATAATATTATTACCTTGGATTATTAGAAGTCAATATTGCTATTTGTTGATTTAAGGAAAAATAAAATAGTTTTATAATTAATTATAAATTTTGTAATTAACTTATAATTAATTTTACAGATTATTACTATAATTCATGATGATATTTAAAATTTATAATGAATCTTAATGGTATTAAAACTCTTTATTTTCCATGCGATGTTACTCTGGTGTTCAAAAGTTAAAGTGTAGCCCAGCTGGTGTGGTTCAGTGGTTGAGCATATTGACCCATGCACCAAGAGGTCGCCAGTTTGATTCCCAGTCAGGGTGCATGCCCAGGTTGTGGTCCAAATCCCCAGTGGGGAGCATGCAGGATCGGCCAGTCGATGTTCTCTCTCATCGATGTTTCAATCTCTCTCTCCCTCTCCCTTTCTCTCTCTCTAAAAATTAAAAAAAAAAAAAAATTAAGTTAAAGAGATCAAGTTTTAAACTGAAGTAGTAATATAATATCCTTTGTATTTTAAATGATAGGTTTTAAGGTAAGTTTCTTTTTTACAGATTAATACTTGTAATAATTTGTTCTGCTACCATGTTAGAAAACATCCACAGAAGTATGTTTTTCTCAATAACAATTTGATGTCAGAAAACATGGGTAAATACATATACTTGTTGTCTTGTAACCCATACTGCATTCTTTCTAAATAGCAAATTTAATTTTATACCAGAAAAGATTTATGTTTCTTCTTTCCTTAAGGATTATTTTGATTTTATTTTGGTAGCTTTTATGATAAAAAAAATGAAAATGTGACGTATTTTACTGATTCAGGAAGAGCTTCCTACTGATTAACAGACATCCACATTGAGATGAAGCTCACAGTAACCATCTTATTATAAATGTCATGTTTTGTAGACAACACAGCTGGAATTGAAACTAGAAGAAATGGATACAGCCGGAGGCAGCAAGAGTTGTATTTCCTCCCTGTTGTAATAGAAGACAGCAGCTATCCTGTCCAGAGCAGCACTAACACAATGACTATTCGAGTTTGTAGATGTGACTCTGATGGTACCATCCTGTCCTGTAATGTGGAAGCAATTTTTCTCCCTGTAGGACTCAGCACTGGGGCTTTGATTGCAATCCTGCTGTGCATTGTTATACTCTTAGGTTGGTTTCAATATTAATCATCCCCCTCCCCTCCAGTATGTCCTCAATTTACAATGTAAATCAATGTTTCTTCACTGAGATCCATACTTGGCTAGAAGGAAGACTATTTATATTGAATTATAATTTTTATTAAAGTTCATTTTCTGTTTTATACTTCATGGATATATAGCAATAGGCATAAATAAATAACATCATCAAAAATACAAAAGTTTGTTCAAGCCATAGGGGATTTTCAAATAATAACAGTTTATGGAACTTGCTGCAATGAAATTTTCTATAACAAATATCCTATATACAGCAAAGATTTGTCCACTTATTTTACACCCTTGTAATTATTACTCCCTATGATATTATATAACCTTTAAAGGATACACCAGGTGAACAGTAGTTCTCAAACATCAGTTTAATAAAGAAAAGAGAAAGGAAATGAGAGAAAGAGAGAGAAAGTAGGAGAAACTTTCATTTTTTTTCTCTTTAAACAGCCAGCCAGAAGCTATTTTTATTCCATTTTTCTCACATCTCCTCACATCAAAATTCTAACCATTTCCACTGGAACAGAAGAGACCACACAGAAATATGTAGAAGTACGCCCAAAGAAAAGGATGGAAGTGAATGTATTTTGTAACATGTCTGAGAATAAACGTAAACCTACCTCAGGGGTTTTCCTCTTCCATCAACTCTCCTGCTGACTCCATATCCAGTGCTAATTCATAGCCAGAATTGCTAAAGTAAAGAGAAATTTTCTAGTTTTTTTTTTGTCATTCTTTTAAATACAAATTGCAACCAATACACAATTGGGCACTGTGCAATCAGTTCATATATGAATGTGTATTCTTTAACCACAAAACATCCTGACAATTATAGATATCTCCTTTTATTTCTAGGATATAAAACAAAATTTAAAAAATACTAGGGTGTAAATCGTGGAGTAAGGCATTATACAATAGTCTGTGAAGAATGATTTCTGAGTCATAATCTCACTTTGGCTTGGAGGGTAAAGTTCTTGTCCAATTTACGATTATATTAATTCCACACGAGTACCCTTGTGTGTAGAACAAAGTATTTTTCATATCCTTATAATTTATAATAAATTATATCTGGCATCTGTTTGTGCTGATGATATAAATGTTAAAAGGGCAGATTCAAATTAATGCTCTCACATCTGAAATTGAACATGATCAATTAGATGTTTAACTTTACATCAACTATTCCTCTCTCATACTCCTCTTTTCTCTAAATATTTTTGAGCCCTAGAGTATTAGCATATCAACCTAGCATGACTTGGCATATTCTGGATGCTTGCCTTTGGCCACTGGTGCTGTTACAGTGTAGCAATTAATCTTGCTCAGGTCAACCTTATCAAGCACTGCCATCTGCCACTTATTCATCTGAATAGTTAACTGAGGGACCCCAGTGCACCTACACTGATCTAGCATTGTGAATTTGCTAGTATTTAACAGTAAATGTTGACACTCTTAGTCTTGCCATGAGGTCTACTTAAAGTCCATCTGTTGTTTAACCTCCTTAACCAATGTCAGACTCCTTTAAATCATTCTTAACCATATTCATAGCCTTCCTAGGGTTAGGGGAGGCATGAGAATCTCATGGTGCTTGGCTACCTTTTAGGTGGCCTTCAAGCACATCTAACTACTTTCTTTCTTAATAGTGGCAACTCTAAAGCCATTCTATATGCAGGACTTCTCTGTGAAGTTTGCAGTAGCTCACATACTCCCTGGGTGAACAAACAATGAACACTCTCTTCAGTTCTGAAATTTGCCTAAACCCTGAGAGGGGCACCGAGTGATAAACATCTGTCCAACGCCTGGTGCACAAGATCTCTACCTACATCTTCCCCCTCTTTTCAATTAACCAATCTCTAATTTTAAGAGAGAGAAAATAAATGGGCTTTTATCATCCTATGACAAGAGTTTTCCAGGCTTTGCTGTGGTAAATCAAACACACTTTGTTTTTCAACTATTACCACTACTATGGAGGAGAATAAGTATATGACAAGTGCAGTCGAGTGCTGACTTCATGGCTTGAATCTGTACCTATTTGCCCATAGAAGAAATAAACACTATTATGTAATGGCTGTGAGTCAACTAGAAACAAAAAGATAGTCAATAATGAGAGTATATCAATTAACTATTTCAAAATATTATCATGCTTCATGAAGGTAATATGAATACTAAGCATTTGGTTTGGAAAATGTCTCAATATTGCAGGACACAGAATTTAAATAATTAGAAGTCTTAGTTGATATAATTTATAAAACTAAGACCCTTATATATTATTTCTTCTCTTTCTCTCTTCCTTATTTATTGCTTTTAAAAATAGCCCTGGCCGGTTTGGCTCAGCGGTTAGAGCATCGGCCTGTGGTCCTGAGAGACCCGGGTTCGGTTCCCACTAAGGGCGCGTGCCTCGGTTGCAGTTTGTCCCTGGCCCTGGTCGGTTGTGCAGGTGACAGCCACTCGATGTGTTCCTTTCACGTCGATGTTTCTCTCTCTCTCTCTGTTCCTCTCTCTCCCTCCCACTATACCTGAACAAAAAATGGAAAAATGTCCTCGAGTGAGGATAAAAATAAAAAAATAAAAATAAAAAATAATTGTCACATGAAGAGTTGTGTTTATTTCATTAGAAACCATTACCATTACAATTGGAAAATCTAGGTGTGAATAATATCTACATATTGCTTATGGGCTATAATATTCAGATTTCATAATATCAGTGTTATACGGCTCTCTGTATGCTTAGAAAAACAATGTTTTTTTTTTTCTTTTTGTAACTTTGTAAGACACTTTTTACCAGGCAGTAAAGTATTTAAATATAATGCTTGTTAAATTTAAGGCTATAGTTGATTTTGTGAATAATTTGGCTATGATTTCTTATTAGTTACAATTTCAAAATGAAGTTGAATTTAGACAATGAAAAAATATGTAAACATGGATCTGATTCTTATTGATTACAGAATGTTTACTTTGGAAATAATAGGATATTATTAAGGAAAATCAGCCAACCCTGATCAATTTTATTTTTATGAGATGAATTGACATATTCTCAAATTGCAATTTTTTGTCTTCTTTTAGTCATAGTTGTGCTGTATGTCGCTCTACGAAGGCAGAAGAAGAAAGACACCCTGATGACCTCTAAAGAAGACATCAGAGACAATGTTATCCATTATGATGATGAAGGAGGTGGGGAGGAGGACACCCAGGCTTTTGACATTGGTGCTCTAAGAAATCCAAAAGCGATTGAAGATAACAAAATTCGCAGGGATATAAAGCCAGAGTCTCTCTGTTTACCTCGGCAGAGACCATCGGTGGAAGATAACACAGACATAAGGGATTTCATTCATCAAAGGCTACAGGAAAATGATGTGGACCCAACCGCTCCACCATATGATTCATTGGCAACATATGCCTATGAAGGAAATGGATCAGTCGCAGACTCCCTGAGCTCTATAGACTCTCTCACCACGGAAGCAGATCAGGACTACGACTATCTGACAGACTGGGGACCCCGCTTTAAAGTCTTGGCAGACATGTTTGGTGAAGAAGAGAGTTATAATCCTGATAAAGTCACTTAGGGGAAATGCAAAGACTAAATCAACAGGAGAAATAAAACAAGAAACAAAACAAACACACACATAGAAATCACACACACACACACACACACACACAGACCCCACAGGCTATATAGGACAAGATTCCTTTGATTATCTGGTTTCTAGCAAGTTGCTCTATTTATCATATTGTCAGTTTTGGTTTATTCTACCAACACAAGATAAATCCTATTATATGTACTTGCTTGGTTTGGTTTTGTTATTTTGGAAATACACTGAGACAAGCTCAGGCCTATTAAATACAATTTACTGACATGACAACCTAGAACGAAGATAGCTATGTGGCATCACGGTGGAAGAGTGTTAGATTTTTCTTAATTCCACTAAAGTGCCTATTGAAACTCTTATCATTTAAAGTGGTGTACAGTACACTCCGCTGTGATGGCATTGCAGGATTCAGAGACACAGGACATAAAACAAAGACACTGTCTTTCTATGTCAAGGAGCAATATCAACATGCTGACTTCTCGTTCCTTTTCAGGAAAAAAGAAGAATACTTTCCGAACTCCATCTTCTTATAATTCAATGTTTTTTTAAAAAAACAAAAACAAAAACAAAAACTGTATGCCAAAACACATTTGTTTCCCCACCCTTCCTGAAAATTGAAATAAATGTGATACTAAATTCAATATGTAAGTTCTGAATTTTAAAAGCAATGTTTGATCGTACCATTAGTTCATATCATAGCTATTCATTAAAATGTTACTTTTTATCAAAAAATAAACTTTCAAAAAATGAAATTTATAAATATCTCTCTTTATAAAGAGATGCCTCAGGGCTGAAACTCCACATTAAAATAAATATTGGTTTTGTTTTAATACTGTGCTGGTGTGTGGAAGGTTGGTTTTAACAAGTGACCAGATCATTGAAGTCTTGATTCATAGATAAAATTTTAAGTTGTGTTTCTATAAAAATTAAAAAAAACCCATAAGTTAAAACATGAAAATAAAATTTATTATAAGCTACTCAGAATTTTCTATAATCTAGTGATTATTTGATGACCAAAGAAAATAATATACATATCAAATAATAGAGGAGGTAAGTATAACATTCCTAAACCTTATTTCTCATATAATACTAAACAAAAAAAATCAGGGATTTTGAAAAATTCAAACCAATATCCAACTCCTAAAATGAACACAAATGCAAAACCAGGAATTGATTTACTTATTTTATTAACACGGGTTTCAACTTTGTGAGCATTGTTATTATAATGAGTCTCAGTTTCTTCATTAGGCCATCATCTGCAATACTTTCAATATAAATTATCCCTACAACTTCTTTGTAAGGAACTTTTACTGTTTAATTTGATACAGATTTCTAAGAAATATTTGACTTTAAAGCATTCAGATAAACTACGCTGATACATTATTTTCCACTGAACTTACACACTAGCTAGAAATGTATCAAACCAGATAACAATCAAGTAAGAATATATTTCTTACTATTACAAGTATATAAGTAACTACTGAAATATTGAAATTATATGAGAGAAAATAAAAATTGCTTATAGACACTTCCTGATCCACCCACCATATTGAGCTATATTTATGAAACATTTATGCATATATTTATATTTGCAGGGTTATGAAAATAAAATTTCACACATGGGGAAAACAGGTAGACATGTGGGTAATATAGGCAGCTTATATTCAGTCCTATTCTTTATTGAACACTTACTTCAAAAATATATAACTAATAATTATCTTGTGGCGATTTGGCCATTTGAATCTGTATCTCCCTCCCCCCCCTTTTTCTGTTGTCTAATACTTGCCTTTTGTCACTATGGGGAACAATTGTGGAACTAATTTTGTCCCCCAATTACCTCAAAGTTACCTTTGTCTCATCCCTGGGAACAGAATTAGAATCCTCGTGTAGCCCAATAATATGCTTTGGAAAATATTTATGCATTTTTTAAAGAGCTGTTGATATCATAACCACGTTAAAGGAAAAATTAAGACAACTTCTGGGTTTTCCCTAACAATGTGCTAGGTGCATAGCTCTTTTCAGAAGGTTAAAATGCAAGATCACTTTGGGCTGACAGACTAGTTCCAGCCAGGAATCAGACTGCTATTGTATCCAGTGACATGGCATGAAGATGGTGGCGTGGAGAAAACATGGGAGGGGCAGTTCCTTTTAAACCACAGGTCTGAGATACAAGGCAAAAATATAACATTGGTGGATCCTTTCTCCTGAGCTCTTTTTGGTACCTCCGTCTTGTGTGTTTGCTACACCACTGCATTATTCTGCTGGGGCTTCCATAATTGAGTACCGCAGACTGGGTGGCTGAAACAACAACTCGATTCCTCCTAGTTCTGAAGGGAAGAAGTCATGATCAAGGTGTCCACAGAGTTGGTTTCTTCTAAGAATTGTTCTCTTTGGCTCGTGGATGACCAGGCTCTCTCTGCGTCATGTGCTAATTTCTCTTTTTTAATGAACACCAGTCATACTGATCCTTTTCACATGACCTCTGGGTACATCAACTCTTTAAGGAGCTGTTGTCAATTACAGTCAATTCTGAGGCAATGTGGTTTGGACTTCAAAATACTTATTTTAGGAGTACACAATTCATCCCATAACAACCACACAGAGGTGAATAGAATTTTTTTTTAAGTATCTGATTCACAACAAACAAATAAATATGAAAAATGTAACCTTGGATGGAGATAATTACAACTACAGGGGGAAACCAGAGTGATTTGGTGAAAAGAGGTCTTTAGGGCTCATGAATTAAAAGTATTATGGGATATCTTTTACACTACAAAAAGCACTAGACCTAATGTTTCAATACAGGCAGTATCTTGGAATTATTTTCTTATTTATAATAACACAGTCGCTGGCCTTCATTCAGGCATTAAGTAATATAAAATGTTTATAGCTTACATGGGAATTTTGGCAGTAACAATAGCTATGTCATATATTTTTTCTGCAATGAATGCTTACTTTCACAGAAATACAAGCCTATAGATTATATTTAATGTATGAATGTTACTTATATATATTTATAAAATGTAACCCTAATTGTGCTCCAAGTATTCCATCCATACATAAGAGTGAAAAAGTGATATATTTGAAATAATCTAAAATTGCTTCTGTAGCAAATTCTATCCCTAACTGGAAATGTCATATAAGGGCAAACAATTTAGCCTCCTCTCCTCTAATCTCCTGGTAAAGTTAACTTGTTGCTCATAGTATTATCTCAGTTTCCTCTAAAACTTCTTGACTTTCAAATTGCAGTTAGAATGGCGTGAAGTTCTTTAAACCATTTACATATTTATTACATAAAACTATGGCAATCATGGAGATTTTTCAAACATAATGTAAAGAACAAACTTTGTAGTATAAATTTGGCTTATTATCAATGACCACTCACCACATAACACATCAGGAGAGCCAGGCAACCATTTTTCTAGGAAATAACAGTCAAAACACTGCAGCAAAATTGAATGGTAGAGACAGACATACATAGGGAGAGATAGAAAATAAAGTGTTAAAATTTAACTAGAGCTCAAATTTGAGCCAAAAAGGAAAACAAATATTAGGGAGAAGAGGTTAGAATGTATTATTTCTTGTCTTAAATAAAACATTTTATAAATCCTTTAAGTTTCATTAACTATTGTATTAAAATGGGAATTTCTAAAAGCAGGTGTAAATATTCAGACATTGTACATTGTACTTGAACTGGGCCCCAGATTGACCATGTCAGTAAAGAGTTAATAATTTGTCAGCAAACAACATCAGTTTGTTAAAAAAAAAAAAAAAAAAAAAAGATGGTTAGAAAATAATTTTATAAATCTTTCTGCATTTGAAAATTTTCTCTTGCCTCTTCCCAAATTTATAGTTTATCTCAGTTTATCACAGTGCTCTTTTAAATTTTTTTCTTTAATGTTTTGAAGTTTTTTTTTTATCATATTCTAGCATCCAACCCAGCTTGTGAAATAGAAAGATGCATATATCACTCCTTCTACATGTGATTAGATATTTTTCACGACAATATTCAGATTTTTTTTCCTTGGTGTTATGAAATTTTACACTAGTGTATTAAGATGAATTTGTTGTCATATTAGGACTATATATGCAGGGGACCCTTTCAATGAGGAGCCTCGGTTTCTTCAGTTTGGGGAGATTTCCTTGTATTTATTCTCTGATGGGTTTATGCCTTGTGTTTTTCTGTTCAGTCCTTATGGAATTCTTAATATTTTGTTTTTGAAAATCCTAGATTTGAGTTAACTGTATTTTCTTTTAGCTATCACTTCCATCTTATATTTTATTCTATTTTCATGGTTAGCTTTGCATCTCTGTTTCCAGTTCTAATGATTTGCCTTGTAGTAATTTATTAATTTCAGAAACTTTTTGTTGTGTTATTCTATTCTCTGTCTCTCCTGTTATTTTGATCATGCTTTTTTATCATTTGTTTCTTCACCCTTATTGATGATGTTAATTGAAGCTTTTCTTTTTTTTTCAAAAATTACATTTATTGGGGTGATATTGGTTAACAAGATTATATAGGTTTCAAGTGTACATTTCTATGATAATCATGTGTATATTACACTGTGTGTTCACCACCTAAAGTCAAATCGCCTTCCATCCCCATATATTTGACCCCCTTTACCTTTTATTACCTCCTACCCCCTTCCCTCTGATAATCACCATACTGTTTTCTTTGTCTATGAGTTTTTGTTTTTGTTTTGTTTGTTCATTTGTTGCTTTCAGTTTTATATCTCCCATATGAGTGAAATCATATGGTTCTTAACGTTTTCTGTCTGACTTTTTTTGCTTCGCATAATATTCTCAAGACCCATCTATGTTGTCACAAATGGCAATAGTTCATCTTTCTAATGCCTAAGTAGTGTTCCATGTACCACATCTTTTTTATCCAATTGTCTATGAAAGGACAGTTGAGTTGTTTTCATGTTGTGGCCACCATGAATAATGCTGCAGTAAAAATAGGGGTGCATTATATCTTTGCAAATAAATGTTTTCAAAATTTCTGGGTAAATACCTACAAGAGAGTTTGCTGGGTCATATGGTAACTCTATTCTTAATATTTTGAGCCCCTTACTGTTTTCCATAGTGGCTGTACCAGTTTACATTTCTACCAGTAATGAACGAGGGCTCTTTTTTCGCCACACCCTCTCTAATACAGGTTATTTATTATCTGGTTGATAACAGCTATTTTAACAGGTGTGAGGTGGTATCTCATTGTAGTTTGATTTGCATTTTCCCAATAGCTAATAAAGTTGAGCATTTTTCATATATTTGTTGGCCATTTGCATGTCTTCTTGGGAGAAGTGTCTGTTCAGGCACTCTGCCCATTTTTAAATTGCATTGTTTGTTTGTTTGGTGTTGAGTTATATGAGTTCTTTATATATTTATTAACCCCTTGCTCTTTTAAACATATTTGTAATGATTTTTTTTCTCTGAATTATGTGTTTCGAACATGAATGGAAAATAACAGATTCAGGCATTAATTTTAATTTATTCTATTTCAACTCATGCTCATTTTAGTTCTCTGCCATATATGATATGTCCAGATTCTGACACATTCCAGGATTGTGGTGAGAAGACCATTTCTCTACTGTGCTGCAACACTGGTTTTCTATCCTGTAACTGCTGTGCCCAGCTTCACTCACCTCTATCCATTAAGCCTTCTAGTAATTTACCCAACATGCTTGTCTGCTGATGGACAATGTGCCATTCTCCTCATTGTAAAGATACACACACACACACATCTACATATGCACATATGTCAAATGTAGAAATCATATTATTTCTCTATAGAGAAATCAATATTATATGCACATTACATTGTATATGCATATTATATAATATATTGTATGTACCTCTTATTTACAAATATATACTTTGTCATCATTAAGGTACATTAGCATAAATATAAGCATAGTCATAATGACCCCAATTCTGGAAAAGGTAACTGATAATTTTTTCTTTTATATTCATTGTTATAGACAGTATAACATATATGTAATTAAATGTTTGCTAA